GCCAGACTGGAGGGGAAGCAGGAATACCCAGACAGCCTCAAGAATCTTGGCTTCTCTCCAGATGTGACTTTCTCCACCCTCAGGCCCTTCCCCAGATGGGCTCGGCTGGCCAGTTCCTCAACAAGGAAATCCCCAAAGCTGCGCCATGGAGACAGGCTCTGTGGAGAGGGGTTTGGCATCAGAACCCAGGCAGTGGCCCCTGCGACCTTGTCAGGAGAAGGAACCTAGGGCTCCCCAGGGTTGGAACAAATCAGCCCTCGCTATGGGACGGTTCTTTCCCAAGTCTAGCTAGTTCAAGTCCTCCCGCCCTGCTCAAGTGAGAGCAACCTGGATTCCCACACCAGGTTCCGGGACAAAGCCTCCTGGACCATACCAGAGGACCAGTTCTTGCCTGATGCTGAGAGTAAATAGGGCCCCACGTCACTGCTGACTGGCAGGCAGAAGGGCCACTTGGTGGGGACGCTGGCTATGTGGGGCTGAGGCTCTAACAGTAAGCAGGTGTCTCTATGCAGAAATGCAGGTTCCCAAGGGACACCCCAACCCCACCCCCGTCTTCCTTTCTCAGCAAAATTGGACTATGAATGAGCTCTGGCTGGGTCATTGATGGACCTTGAGGCCTCATCAGAAGGGAACCAGGTGCCTGCACTTTGGTGACAGGCTCAGGACACACCTGAGTCACATACTCTGGGAACCACACACTTGGTCATTCTTTCTCCCCTTGGCCTAGGGACACGGGAGGATGTGCACACACTGACTGCTGGCTGTGGGCATGGCGGCCTGACTCACGGACCTGCTTGTAACTCTGACCGCATTTCTAGTTGTGTGTCCCTTAGCAAGTTAACTCAAGTTTAAGCCTGTTTTTCATCTGTAAAATGGCACTAACAAGTGTACCTATTCTTTGAGCCATTGTGTCCCATGACAGCAGTCACTCCAGGTTGCTGGGATCACCTGTGTAAGGTTCAGACCATGGGGCAGGATGTGTTCTCTGTGGGAACTGCTGGTGGAGAGGTGCAGAGTGGGGGGTGCAACCTCTGGTCTGGAACTGGGAGAGCTCAGACTTTCTCTGCTCAGTGATGGAGCCGCAGGCAGGGTCTGTGGGGGCAGGAGGGAGGTTTTCCCAGGCCAGGCTGCAGACAGCAAGTCCATGACAGGAGCCTGGAAGGGCTGGGGGCAGGGCTGTCTGTCCCACTGCCTTGCAGCGTCGGGCAGAGCTCTTGGCACCAACAAGGTCCTTGGCAAATACCTAATGAGTAGGACTCTGCTGAGCCAGTCCCACTCCAAAGCCATGGGGCCCCCAGGGCCTGGCCTGTGCCCTCCCTCCAGACACCCCTGCTTGTTGAGTGGGCCCAGATGTGTCATGCGGTGAAAAGTTATCTGAAGCTCATCAACCAACCACAAAGGCTAAATCCAGCAGCAAGCTGTGACCACAGGGAGTTTTGTGATGATGTTTGAACTTGAAACTAATTCCAGTAATGAGAAAATCATGCCTCGGGATCCAGTCACCAGGGCCGGGCGGCCATTTCTACAACTTTCCAGCCCTGAGACAGAGCGCAGCCAAGTTGGCTGGAAGCATGAAGTCAGGCTGGGACTTGCCAAGGTCTCAGTACCTCTGCCAATTCCAACGGGACACAGGCAAGACATGCAGATCTGAAGGGGTGGGTCCCCTGCAGACAGGTGGCTTACAAAGGTGTGAAGTGGCTGGTCTAGCAGCTTGCATCAAGCTCCAAGACCAGAATGAAGCTACCTCTGGGGCTTTATGACCATACGCCAGGGGGTGCCTGCTCCGACCTGCCTTTGTGGAAAACTGCACTTACCATCTTTCAAGGATCTTTCCTAGAGGATCCACACTGGTCATCTTAAGGACATTTTTAGACAAAATTGCAGAATACATATTCAATAGAGCCTTTCAGGATTTATCTGGATCTTCTCACAGCCTAGGAGGTGGGCTGTTCCTTTGCTGCCGCTGGGCAAGTATACCCCCAATGTTTTACTGAAACGAGGCAGGATAACCCTCACCAGGTTCTCTCAGGCACTGCCAAGGGCATGCTCTTTACCAAGGGTCATTGCTTTATAGAACTTGACACTGTAGTCTTTAAATGAGCAGCCTTGAGACCATGCATGAAGTTGATGCTACAAAGTGCCCATCAACCATCTACTCTTGCTTCTGAGAAGGAAATTTGACAGGAAACACCTTTACAAATAGGTATTGTAACATAGCTCGCTTTCAGTGCTTTTCTAACTTCCTCAAAATAAAACCACAAGGTATGTGGTTGGAGGGTAAGGCAGGGCAGGAGGGGGAGGTAAGGCGACACACAAGGCCACTGTTGACCAGAGTAGGTAAGCTGGGAAAACCATGAGCTAACCAATCCTTGTTTTTAACCCCGTTCCAGGAGTGAGGCAGCCCCTCTGGAGCAGCCAGGGAAGGGTAAGTCCACTCAGTTTGTCAACAGGCCACCAGGTTCCTAGGGACTCATTTTTTACAACCAGCTGCAAACTGCTTTGTCTGTTCTTTGAGCCAAGGTTGGTAGCCATGAAGTACAGAAAGCTGATCTCGTCACATTGGAGTAAGACAATCCCTAACTGCAGAGGCTGGGGAAAGCACCTCTTTTGGGCATCTAAGCAGAAGGATGAACAGCCCCATTTGTAATCATCCCACCACTCACAGGGCGAGTTGGTAACTAAAGAAAAGTGGCCTACAGGTCATCTGAATTCCTAAAATCCTGCCTCCTTTTCCTCTCCCACCACAAAACTGAGGCATCCCTGGGAGAACGCGCCTTCCACATACCAGTGCAGAAACTGCGCTCCCAATGAGGAAGAGTACTGGGCAGTACACTCTCAGGTGCCCACTAGTGGTTAAGCCAAGCAAGTCCCTTGAATTTTAGACCAGGGCTAGGGTGTTAGGTGGAAACTGGAAAGGCCGGTCACTCAATCTTCCTCTCCAACAGACCTTTTGGTTGCTGGGGGTAAAAGAAAGCAGAAACAGAGGCAGGAATGGTGCTCAGAATAACCAACCTACTTCCTAAGGGAACTGGCTGCCTGCTGTACGTAGCACCAACATGGGAGGACTGAGGGCAGCAGACCTGGACTCAAGTACTGGCCCCATCTCCAAGTAAGCAGACCGGGGCAACTGCTTGATTCTGACTTGACTTCATCTCTGAAGTCCCAAAGCAACCTTGGCCAGCAGGTGGGTGCAGTCAGTACACCTAATGTCACTTCATGTATCATAGGTGATTTAGACCCCTGAAGATAAAGGTCTCTTATGATAACGCTGACTGCTGAAGGGTAGCTTGTGTGCACCGAGTAGAGCTCCAGTCTAGGTGGGCCCACTGGCTCCTAGCTCCCAGGCCTGCTCAGTTGCTGTGTGCCCTCACGCAAGGGCAGGGGCCACTCCAGGAACAAAGCTTTGCTTTCCCGCGGCTGCAGGTGCTGAGCTAGGGATGGGGGTTATTGGCATTTAGCCCAAGTCCACCGACAGGATTTAATTTGTACCATGTAGGCATTTCTCTCGTTTTATTGTCAGGTGGACATTTAAGAGAAGCTTGGATTTGGTCATAAAGCCTATGTTCCCAGTCACTCTACATTCCCTGGCAAAATAATGTTTATCCTTGAACTATTATGGATTCAGGATGTTGTTTCAGAAACACTAAGCACATTTAAATTACTGAGACCTATTTGAAATTTCTTTTTTTTTTGGCTCTTCCTTACCGATCTTGTATTTATGGGTGAGTTTAATCCCTACCCCAAAAGAATCATGCTATTTATCAATTGTCTCCTCTATGGATGCACTAGCCTCCTCATAAATACAGAAAGCTGGAGGCTTCATCTTAGACTTCCTGGGCTCTGGGTTAGCAGGCCAGGGAGGCACTGCCATCCATCTTGAAACAAGCCCATGGCCTGAAACCAGGGCTAATTTTGCCATTGCAGGTAAGAAGGCAATTTGGTAAGGTAGTCACCTTGCCAGAAATCAATGCTGCTCTAAGAGTAGCTTTACTGAGAGACACCCGACTACAGGAGGCAGAGACTGAGACATGTTGAGATTCAGGAGACAACAGTGCGTCAGTAGGAACGCCTTATTCCACCGCCACGCTCTTCCAGTAGAAAACAGTCGGAGTAACAGCAACCATTACCTGAGGTTCAACATTTCTTGAAGGAACTGAGCCTGTTTTGTTTCGAGAAGAATGGGACAGGAGAGCATTCCTTAAACCTTTCAAAAGCTATTATGAGGAGGACGTAGGTGGTACTGATTCTGTGCTGTTGTCCAGTGTAAAAACTGCTCTACTCAGTAGACTTGAGAACATTTTTTTAAAAGTGTTTTCTAACAGTACATATAAAAAAAATGTGTATGCATATATACAGAATTTTTATACTGGATATATATACCTATACTGGATGGAAAGCAAATCTCCTTGACAAGTCTGTGATATCACAAAACTTTTGTTAAAAAGAGAGTTATGTATAGGAGTTTAACTCCCTTTATAAGAAGCCTTTGCATGGGTACGATTCTCCATAGTTGGGACGCAGTGTTGAGAGGACAGCATGGTTTTGTACATTTTCTGAGAACACTTTAAAGGGACCCTGAGAGTCTATTGTAGGGACCGTCTCCCCCTAACTTCTGTTGGTAGATCAGTAACAAATTAGTTTGCCTGGGCACAGATTTGTAGGGTACAGGAGAGGCAGAGAGCTATGCCGAGAACAGAAAGTATCTGGAGTCACTGTGGTTTTTATGTGGGAGGAGCTAATGTATGTGCTCTGTCTGGGGAGAGATTCTGACCTCAAAATCATACTTCAGCTGCATACAGTTGGCGTGTTACAGATAAAAAGCTGGGGGCTCCAGCCCAGCCCAGACTAGACGCACAGTGGTCTCAGAAGCATCCTGGTGTCCTCATGAGGCCCTGCCCTCTGAGCAGTGCCAACTAACACTCATTTTGCGTTCCACCTACCACCGGACCACCCACGAGTTTCCCCAGACATATCATGAAAACGCCTTAGAAAGAAATGAATTAGTGTGTGAAAGGCATGGATGGATTTTATTTATTACCCTATATCTACATTTTAATTTGAGGTAAAATATAAGCAACACATAAAAATGCCTATTTCTGCTACCATGTAATATAATTCTCCATTGTGAATATTGTGATAAAGCTAATGAACACTCTATGCCATCACATACTCTAGCTTTTCATATAGCTGGGATTTTACAACTCTTATTGTCTGTGAAATCTCAACACATGTCAGATTCTCCTAGAAATGGCGCAGAATAGCAGTGGGTGCATAATGGTTTATGACCCCTCACTCCCCACATTGGAGCCTCAATGTTCTAAGTAGAATTATCAAATAATGAAGGCAATGAAAACCCCTTGAGATTGATCCAAGCTGGAACAGTGTTCCAAAGAAATCCACACCACAATAGGTTACACGATAGTGAGGCTTTAGTGTCATTTCGCTTGCCCAAACACTCATACCTGATCTTAAACTTCCGGCACACCATGCATTTTATTTGGATGACAAATAAATGTGGAAGAGGTTCTCCTATAAGTTCATCCCACCTATAAGCCACACGCAGAAATTCTGACCTCTTACTGGCTACTAGGTAATCCAGATGTTTGTTTTTTAATTAGGATAAAAAACGTATGAACCATGATAGATAGCTTAGGAAAAGGTTTAGTCAAATATACAGATACTAACTGTTCACTCAGTCATTAAGGAGAGCCGTGAACAAAAGGATCATTTAAATGATTTTTCAGATAGAAAAACTAAAGAACTAAACTATCACAGGTGTTTTCTTCACTGCAGAAGCTGAGATGTTCAGTAGGAGATATCTTCACTTGATTGGAAAATAAACACCATAGCTGAAGGCTCTGCTGAATCCGTAAAAAAAATCTGGTGCGATTCATCCCTGTCATTTTCCCTGTCATTTTTCCAGCATTGCTGTAAAATCCTTATAATACATTCCAAAGGAAACCAGCCATTCCAAATCTACAGTCACTCTGCTCTTTAATTCAATTCACAGAACTGCTGAAAAAGTAGACATTTCTATCTAAAAGTAGAAAAAAAGGTTTGTATAGAAGGTATTTCTGTTATACAAGTATATTACACAGCTTGGGGCAGTAACAGGTCCGAAAAGCTCTTCTCACCCACTGATACTTTAAGCTAAAATGGGAGAGAAAACAAGCAAGAAAACAGGTTAATCTGATTATAGGAACTGAACATTCACACATATCACCACTTAGTTAGCACTTCAACCCATGCATTGACAGCACATGGCAGATTCCATGACAGAAAAAAGGCTATAAAAAAATGCAGTGTCAGGTACAGATCGGTCCTGTCAACCTGTGCCCTGTTAACCATCAGCTAAACATTCCACAGCTCAGGCTGCGTGAGGTTCAGTAGACACCAGAACTAAGTTTTGCTGACTCCTGTTCTAGAGTGGCCCCTCCTGTTACTAACCCGGCCAAGTTTAACAAGTCTGGAATAATAGGACCAGACTTGTAACTTAACTATGTGAGATGCACAATGGACTGTGCAGCTCAGCCAGGCTCTGAAAACACTGTCACTGTAATCAGGGGAGAAGTCAGGGTACTGACAGTGACGCAGTGAACTGCACTGGTGAGACAAGATTTGCCCTGTGGATTAACACAGTTTCCTTTTAAGGCAAAAGGGCATTTACACCTCTGCAACATATACTGACTGATCCAAGGAAAAACCTGTTTGAATCTTCTAGCTCAAACCATCTGGTTATGGCTCACAACTAGACCTTACGTGCCCTGAAGGTGGGCCACCATTTATGGCTGAAGCAGGGAAAACACACAATTAGCTTATGGATATGATGACACTACATGGCACCCGGACACAGAGACTGAGTTACCCTAAGAGGGAGAGGTCTACCACGTAGGGTCTGGTTCTTGCTTGATCTGAGAGCTTCCATCAGCCTCCTTTACTTCTATCAAGAAAAACAGAAGAGAACCATTTCATTCCACTATGAATGCAAACCTGTTCAATTATAAATCCACTCATACCAAACTATTTACTAACATGATTTAATAGGAAGAATACGATACTAAAAATAATATTTTCCATCTAGCAGTAAATTCTAAATTGTGCTACTTATGTTTTCAAAGTAACAAACATCTTATTCCTTATGTCTGTAAAGGGTCAGCACTATCTAGGTGACATAGCAGTCATTCCACTGTTTCAGAATTCATTAAGAGTCACTAGGGGGGAAATGGAGCCAAAGAGCCCATGTGTCATCTCTGAACACAATGTTTCTGGGCATAAACTACAAATCCAATTCATCCAGAAACAAAAGAACAAAACAGCCACAGTTCTAGTTTAAAAGCTGTAAAAACACAGTTAATCCTTTGTCCTAATAAAAGTCTTAAGGAACTTCAGTTTTTGACAACCAGATGACCCTTTTTACCTTCTGTTGTGGGAACCTCCAACTGGCTTGGCTCAGCTGATTCTGAAGAGAAACACATGAAGATTTACTGTAATATTGTTCAAAAGTGGTTTTCAATTATTTAGAGTCCAGAGGCAGGAGAGAAAGCTCTCCAGTCAGTGTACACAAATCACAAGACTAGGATAAAACAACAGCCACGGATTCTTGGCATTAAACACACAATTACTCAACTAGACTTTCAAAATTCTACGTTTCTGAATTCTGTTAAGTTGGCTTGCACAACCAAAGTCGTAAATAACAATATAAATGAGCATAGCTCTAACACAAAAGCATGAAGTTCTTGCTTTATGTCTTTTCCCCCTTTCTTTTGTGAGTTCCCTTTTAATAAAAACCTTTCATTACTTTCAATGAATCACAGTAGTAGGCTTGATCACTTGTTCCTAAGGAATTTTTATAACCACAACACATGCATTTCCACCCAACACAATGTGGCTTACAACTACCATTAGAAACAAGCGGCATAAAGAGTCAAGTTAAAAAGAAACTTCTCACGCAAAAACTGCATTCTACGCAGTGGTCTTAGGGTTCGTGACCTTCACCTGACCTAGTCCAGTGGGGTCGAATAGCACGTGGTCCACAGTTGTCAGTTAAGACCTACAGACTGAGCTTACACAGGCTTTCAAACACAGCAGTCAAAGAAAGCCTAAGGTGTGTGCACACGTGTATGTTCTGTGTAACTGACTCCTAAAGCGAGGCAAAGGTAAGCATGTGATACCACACAATTTTGTCTGATCTATTTTACTGAAAGAGTAAGAATAGAGTAAAACATAAAAATATTTTACCCTCCTTAATTTACCTTGGATCACTGGGCCTTCTGACTCATTCTGATCAACCAACTCTGAAAATAAAGCAATTCATTTAATAATTTGATGACAAGCTGTGGCATCTAAAAAGCATTTTTATATACATTATTTTGATGCTCCAATTTTAACATAACAGGCACTATTTTCCTTATGACATTAAGAGTTCTGGTATATTCCATCAAAATAACTAATTCATAGCAATTACCACAAAATTTTATTACAGACTACTACACAGGGATGAGAACAAAACTGAACATTTTGTAAGGGGGAAGAAAAGCTTAAAATATAATCCATGACCCTGAAGAGCGAAGGCCAGAAAACAGGGTCAAGTGTGAAGCAGTGCATAATGGTAGGGAACAGGTGTGATGACAGCACGTATCTCAGTTGGACGGGCTGTTCAACTCACAAGGTTCTGCGGCTCAGTGGTCACTGAAAACCCCTGAACATGAAACTGAAGAGACTTCCACCTTCCCAATGAATAAACTATAGAACTGAATACTCAATGTAGGTGGATTTCAAAGAGCTAGAATAATACTAATTGGGGAAAAAAAAGACTGAAATCCAACTGTATTAGCAAAGGATCATTTTCACTTAAAATTTTTTAATAAAAAGTTCATATAAAACATACTTGTACAAATATGTTTTGCTAAAAGCACTATTTAAAATGATATGAACATCAGGGAACTGGAAGAACACTTATATTTGTTCATGCAACAATATTTGAGAACCCAATGTCTACCAGACATTATGCTTAATAATAGAAGCTAAATCACACTTAAAAGACCTACTTATTCCAGCCCAGCAATTACATAACAATAGTAAAAGTCATAATAGTAACAATGACAAATACAGATTGTATTTACTGAGGACGTACTATGAGGACAGGTATTGTTCTAGGTTACAGGTAAACAAACTTTTTCATCAAGAGCCAGTTAGTAACTATTTTAGGCTCTGCAGCTCACAAATGCTCTGTTGCAACTTCTTAACTCTGCCATAAGTAAATTGGCCTGGCAGTGTTTAAATAAAACTTTATTCACAAACATGGGCAGGAGCTTGCTAACCCTCGCTTGACATGAGTCTTCTAAAATGGTCTAAAACTCCCCATGTGGGTACTAATATCATTACCATTTTATGATGACTAAACTGAGATTTTAAAAAGTTAAGCAACTTGCCCAATTTTACATCTACAAGGTGTTTGATGCTTTAACACTAAGGGCTAACCTAATGATGATTTTGCATGGTTACTGCTGTATGAGAAGTGAAATTTTACACTGAGCTAAGTGCACGAGCACACACCCACACCTCTCACATTCTGGGGCAAAAACAAAAATCCAAAGACTTCACAAAATACTCACGGTTATTAATCACAAGGCCTGGAAATGGTCTAAAGAAAGAAATAAATTATGTAACAGTTTATTTTTACTCTACAAGAATTTACAGGTATATTCAGTTTATACAACTCATATTTAGCCTATGTAACTTAAGTGCTAGAATGAGAAATGTTATCCACTACTTTTTTAATCTTATATTTTTAAATCAATTGATATATAGATACATGAATAGCTAACATGGAACATACTAGAAAATGTTACATTAAAGATGGTGGGAAAATATAAAATAGGGACAAAGAAAAGTCAACAGAATTTTAGTGAAATGGTCTAATGGAAGGCTTTCTTCCCAGACTCCTGGGGAACAGCACGGAAAATGAACATTGATTAAGTGGGACAAAAATATGGGATTTTTAGGGAAAGGGTATTGGGAGAAGATGGGAGTGGATGAGAAAAAGTCTTGGGAGGCTAACGCATTAGCTATTTCTGAATGCCAGTCCTAAGGGATTTCTACTAGAGATAGTGGGAACTTGACAATGAACTGACTGGGGGAGATTTAGTGATAGTCGAGTTTTTGTGAGTTGGAAGAGAAGAGTGAAGACACCTTGGGACTTCTGCTTGGGTGGATGGGAAAGAGGACATTATGCTGAATGAACACTTACTGTGATAAGCACATATAAATAATGTAATTCTCATAATGCTGTTAGAGGGCTGGTATAATCATCATTCCTATTCTGTGGACAAGGAGCTGATGCTCTCAAAGGGAACAATTACGATCTCACTGTATAGACAAGGAAACAAGTGACCTGGCTGACTTGGAATCGAATCCCTGAGATGCCGGAGACAAAATCTTTGTGTTAAAGGGCTAGAGTAAATATGTTAGGCCTTGCATACTACTGTCTCTGCCCCAGTTAATCAAGTTTACCACTGTAACAAGAAAGCAGCCATGGATAACATGTAAACACACAGATGATTGTGTTTGAATAAGACTTTATGAAAACAGGAGACAGGCTGGAGCTGGTCTATAGGTCATGGTTTGCTAACACCCTGCCTTAGAAACCGGAGAATTAGGCCAAGTGGCACGATGGTTAAGAACTGGCTAGGGATGCCAGAGGGCCCCGGTTCGGATCCCACATATGAGGGCCAGTGACAC